CCATTAATCCTTACCGGCTTTGAATCCTGGTCCCACCTTCTCTGTGGCAGTTTTCCCTGGGTGGAAAGGGGCTGGCACCTGAGGGACGTGGGACTGTACGTGCACGAAGCATGGGATGCGGTGTGCTAAGAGCTAGCGTCACCCTCCCAGGCAGATTATGATCCTTGCTGAATCCTGCTGGCACCTGGTCCTGCTCCTCCAGGGTTGGGAAGCACAGCCCAAAGCCTGCAATAAAAACCACCCAGCAGCAAGGAGCGATCCTGCAGCCAGCCAGGGCGCTGGGCGTTGCCATCGTGTCCCTGGGCTGCCTCTCCAGCAGCCAGCCAGGAGCCCCAGGGCAGCTGCGTGTCCTGGCTTGGGGTCAGGACAGGGCTTCCCCAGACAATGCCTTCTCTTCTCCTCAGGTGATGGCAGAGAAGGGCCAGATCATCACACAAAGAATAGCTATGATGCCCAGTTACCACTACTAAAAATTTTTTTACTTGAAGAGATACCAAATCAGTGCTGCCAGCTCCGCTGTAGGGTCTTAAGCCAATACCTGGCATTGCAGCAGAGAGTGCGTGCATTGGTTTGGCATGTGGACCTAGAAACAAAGTGAAGAAAATCAAAATACCATGATCTCCTCTTTTGCAGCATCCAGTATTTTCTGTGCTTCTGGGTTTAATGAGGTAGCTGATGGAAATCAGAGGTGCTGCCTTTGCTCATTGCATCACTAGGATGAACCCCTCGGTGATCTTAAATTCATCCTCTGGCTGCCCTTTCCTCATGACTAGAGTGAAATGAGGCAATAACCTCATTTGATTTGCACATCCCACAAAACTTGCCAGTGAGGTTAGAGACCTCTGTGCAGCTGATTTAAGCCTGCTGGTTCTAGGTTGGTTTCTTCTTCATAAACTGCATAGAGGTATGCCGCAGCCCCCCAAGGTTGGAAACCACTGAAATAGATGAATATAAAAAATCTGATGCTGATGGATATAAAGAAGAAACAATTTGTTCATGCAGTATGAGAGATACAAATATGAGCTAACAGTATAGCTGTATGACTTTATTTTTCAAACTGTGCAAGTAGACATACATTCAAAATATGGTATTTTGGACCCAGTTACTAATGAGATCCCCAATACGGCAGAGTACAGGCACCTCAGCAATAAGGACTAAGGCTGATCAAGTAAACTTCACGTAATTATGAGCTGAGAACTTAAAGAACATAGCGTGTGTCACTCATGTCCCAGAGGTGAGCACAGACTGGTATCAGAGACCATGGAGAGAAAATACTGTGTATGAAAGCATCATGCAGACCTGAGCTGTGATCCAAAGAGAGAAGCAGTTGGATTTATGGGCTTCTACATTTGCGCTATTAGTGTACCTATTAACAAACGATGTAGATTACTCCTACTAGGCACCTTGAATTTCTTGGGAAAATGGTTTTATGGATATTGCTAAAATTAAGTTATCTTTTGATTGTCAGTAAGGAAAAAAATGGTAACAGTCAAAAGATTTTGGACAACACTTTCTTAGACTCTAAAGAGCAAAATGGCCACTTTATTGGGTTTGGATTTGACAACCTGATATTGGCATTAGCGTGAAAAGTTAATAGTCATCTGCTCTTCTCCTGCACACTAATAATAATACAGCTATGTCTTTGCAGGTGATAATGTCACTACCTGAACAGTACATGCTCACACTTAACAATGCTGTGAGCCAAATGAAGCCCCGAAGGCTATTTAATCACTTAGATTGAAGCTTCATTTTCCTAAGTGCTGCGGCTGTATTGATTTTCATGGAAGTCAGTAGGTTTAGCTCATTATTTTTTAAGTTTCCCTTTTTTTAATATTGCTTTCAAATAGATTTTATTGTGTTTTGCTTTATTTTGTCTTTTTTATGATTTTATTTTATTTCTCTATTTCCAGTGGGGCTGTTCTTAAATAACAGGGTTTATAATCAGACTGATAGAGGTGTTGCACTCAAAACATTATTTAAAGGAGAAGAAGAAACATCTCATACATAAAGCCAAAAATTTATTATTAGTATGATTTAAATTTTAACAGTTTAATCCAAGAATCATTATTAGTTGAAATCTAATTATTACAGAAAATAATACTTCTATGCAGAAAATGTTTCAGTAATTATAATAATGTCAAAATTGTTATACACACACTTCTTCGTTTCTACTGCTTTTCTTGGTGTTTCATCCACCCTCCCCCTGCTCCTCTGGGTCCTGCAATGGGCAGTTTCAGTCTGGTGGGGGCATTGCGGTGTGTCATTGGCATTTGGAGTCCTTTGCTGGGAAGGAAATGATGTTCATCTTGATGGTTTCTTTTTCCTCACTCTAGCATCTACCTGGGGGCATTTTTATGTTTGCTAACAGACTTTTAGACCTTGCTTTGTCTTCATTGATCTGAAGCTCCACGTTACAGCCGAGTTTACTATACACAGTACCTTTCACGAATGTTAGATACTTCTTTGTCCTCCCTAAAAGCAGCTTTGTCCAGCCCCAGGTCTGAACTTCTTTAGCTGGCCACTGGTGCGTTGTTTATAGCCGTGGGGTCTCCAGTGCCAGCCTATGCCCATCTCTTACCATCCCATCTCTGCCCTCCTCCATGCCACGTCCTGTGTCTCCACTTCTCGATGCCGCTGCTGTCCTACCAGGCTGGTATTTCTGTATACTACACAGTAGCGTTAAAGTTATAAAACCGTGGTGGTACCATACAAAGGAAAACAAAAGTACAACGAATTAGCCATAGCCACCTGGTCAATTAGAAAAATTGCTGTTCTAGCTGAACCAGGTAAAGCAAAGCTGCGGGCAGGTCTAGAACAGGTCAGACAGGGCAAGCCTGACAAGCCTCCATCCTGAGACCTTGCAAACTCAGTACAAAGCCTGTGATCTGATACTAGCAATGGCAATGCCATATTATGGGCCTACGGGGTAACAGAGGTGATGGTACAATTCAAGCATGCTTCACAGTATGGGGTATATATGTAGAAAATGTGAAATAATGTACACGTGAAAGGTAGCTGTAGTTTGGAGTGTCAAACGTATTTTTCTAATGGGCTCTCCACTCACCTGTCTGTTATGATATAAACAGTAGCACACTGTTGGGGTTGGATGTCTCTGTTTTGCTTTTGGTTTATGAAATATTTTCCAGTTGTTTGCTGAGAAAAATAATACAGCAAATTGCACATCCGACAGAGCTGCATTCTAGTTACTCATTATCAGGTAATATTCATACAGATCAGAAAAAATGCCGAACTTTTTAATGAAAATCGGATGCAAGGACACAGTCCAATAGAAAATTCTGTACAGTGGAATTTTATCTGTAAATCAGCAAAAGGCACAGTAGGAGCATCTGGGGCAAGGCAGGAGCAGGAGACCAGATTTATAGTCCCATGTTTACTTATTTCTAATGCAGAGTCCACAGCTCTCCATTTGTTTATCTTCAGGAATACGTAATATATTTCTTCCTATTTATTCCTGGGTGAGAGTATGTATGAATTAACATGAGACACAAGTCCAGAGATGTATATTAGATACTGTGAACTGAAAGCGTACACCTATAAAATTTTTATCCTTGGGCACTTTTTGAATGTCTACCACCTGCAAGGGGATGGATGCTGATGCAGTGTAAGGGATTGTGCAGCTGGGCAGTTATTACCATACCTCATGGCCAGGAGTGCATGCATTGCATTAGTGATAAGGGAAAAGGAGAGCATCCTTATTTCTCTTATCTTCTGCATCTGTAAATTGGCACTTTCTGTATCACTGTGAACATTGAGAATCAGGTACAGAAGGTCAGGTTTTCTCCTTGCTTGTACTCCTGTTAATCTAATCCACTTAACTCAGTATCACGATGTGTTAGCATAAACCAGCTGCTGGTAGTGTTTGGGCCATGCTATTCCCTGCTGATAAAACTCTTCCATTTCCCCTCCACTGTAGAAAATGCTGGAGCTGCTTAGCAATTCTTGGAGGTTAAGTGATATATAGTGATTTATCTTTCAGAGATGATTCTTCGTTTTGAATATTTTTTTTTCCTCATTACCCTTATAAAACTGAAAAGAAATTGGAATTTGTTCTCTTGGGAAGATGGCTGCACTGGAATGGTTTTCATGTGAGGGAAGCACAAGTCACCCGCAGAGCTCCTCACATTTCAGATTCCTTTATCGTACTTTTAATAATTTAGGTGCTTGTTGTACTAACTTGTGGGATACAAATCCAGGGGTATGCATGGGAACAGGGACACTCTGTAACAGCAGATCACCAACGCTCTGCAGCGCACAGAGTAACCACTCTGGCAGTAATCCTACTGATTCTAGAACTATTGCTAGACTTTCCATTTTGGCTGTAATGAGCTATGCTATTTTACCCATTTTCAAATGACCGATGGTGGATGCGGATAACCAAGAGAAAGCTTCCTTGAAATGCAAAATATGCATAATAATAGGTAAGAGCTTCCACATTTCCAGCAGGACCTTGTCAGCTGAAATAGAGCAGTGGAAAAAATTGAGCTTGGATTGATTCAGGCAGATTATGCTGAAGGGTCTTCACTTGCAGGGGGAGTTTATTTAGATGTATTAAGGCCAAATACAGAAAACACTCTGTAAGTTGAACAAGTAGAATACAAATATATGAAAGGTTTGAAGGGGTCAGGCCTTCTTTGCCAATTGCCCGTAAATTAGTAGCAGAAGTTGAAACCAGTATTGCAAGGTTGCTATATAGGTATTCATATGCTTAGACTATCAGCTGGTACAGTGGGTTCAATATTGTCATTCTGAAGTGAACTTTTAAACACATAATTACATGGAGCTGAAGTAAAAATCATATTGTAATATCTAACATAAACAAGGTATTCTATTTCAAGTGGTTTAGTCAAACTTAAACTAAGAAAATCCAATAATGGGAGGCTTAAAAATAGAACCTTTTCCTTTTATTAATTTAAGCCATTTTAAAGGGCAAAAATATACCATGAAATATATTTAGGCTCTTCCTTTTCTTTTTTTAACAGGACTGGGAGTTCCCACATTTTATGGGTGATGTTGAAGTGAATCTTCCAGGCTTGCCATCTGCACACATGCAGTTCAAAGTACCTTATTTCCAAAAGATCTTCAAAGAGGAATATCACATACATATAACAGGTATGTAATCTTCCAGATTGTGACACAGTCACACAGTGAACTGCTTCTGTGTAATAAATGTAATCTAACATGATCTTAACCACATACTTTTTGTGTGTGTGTGTGTCCCAGATTACTATTTTTCTATCTGTATATCTGTCCATATCCATATCATCCATATATAAACCTCTCAGGGAAATGAGGAACCTGTATCTTACAAATCAGAGAGACCTGCTGTTTTTCATGGATTTCAGCAACTTCTTGTGACACTAAGTAATACCTAGTGTAGCTTCAGAGATCTTTTATCTAAAATTACTCTCCAGGGGAATTAGAGGCTTATTTAATTTTCAAATCTCTTATGCTTTCAGATGCTTTTGCTATGATTTATGCTAATATCTTTTCATAACTTTGGTCATTCTTATCTGGCAAAGGCCACTCATAACCATACTTCCATCAGTCATCTAACCAGAAGCAGACAGTTAAATAACCTCAAATAAAATAGAATTGCAGTTATTCAAATGGATGGTACATATAGATAAAAAGTACCTGATCCTTGCATACTATGAGACAGTATTTTCATAACAGTAGGAAATGAAAAAGAGAAGAAGGTTAAATTGGGATAAATATCTTGGGTTTGCCTTCAAGCTATGCAAAAGCAGCATAGCTCCTCTCTATATATTGGGAAGAGGTGGACAATAATGGATAGCAAAAGAATGAAGGTGTGAATTGACAGGGGTCTTTAACTGCTAATATAAACAATCAGAGCACATGATACGGTACAGGAATAAGACAGATGAGAGCATCCAATGAGACAGCCATATAAAACTCCTGCAGAGCAAGGACAAAAGGAGCATTCAGAGATGATACAAAGATAAGGCTAGCAGGTGAGTCACAAGCTCACCAGGCAGCAAAAGCCAAGGGAAGAAAATGTACTGATGAATTCGGGACTCAGTCGAGATAGTCTGAATGAGGCCTCAGAAAATGCATTTTCAGCAGAGAAGGTAGAAACCTGAGTGATCAGATTAAAAAACAAAAAAGAAGAGAAAAGGAGTGCAAAAGTTACCTGCTGGCTATTGAATGAGGGAAGGCAAATGGGCCAGTAGGAAGTACAGATGGAGGGATGGAAAGTTGTTCAAAATTGGATGTAGGTGCCCTGCGGGAATACTGAGAGAGAACAGCCAGCCAGCAGGAAGAAGGAAGGGCTGGAGCACATCTGAGTGAGACTCTTTGAGCCACTAGTGGTTTATAGAACAGGATTAAGTCATCAGTGACTAGAAGGCGTAGGGTGAGAGAAGATGGAATGTTTACACGATGAACACATTTTTCTCTCCCATGTGAGCAAAAAGGGAAAAGAAGAGGGAAAAAAAGAGTATAAGTATCAAATATTTGATGTGCATTATAGGCATGCTATTCAGTGACAGTGAAAAAGACTTTTCTGCTTCTCAAGACTAGAGCATGAATTTGGAGGGGCTCAGTTCCACAAGGTTTCCAGATGCCCTGCAGTTATTCCATTGTAGAAGGAGAAGTAGTGGAATGGGCACACAGAGGAGTCTGAACAACTGAGGCACGGTAGAGTGGGCTGCGCTGTCAGATACGGAAACTCGGGATATAATTAGTGTAGATGAAAAGCAATGGGTGGTAGAAGAGGGACTGAAGAGCAAAGAACAGTTTTGCATTGTAGAAGAGATGGGGATATTGATGATAATCGGGGAAGAGCAAAGCATAAGCAACAGCAAAGAACATAAATTAGGAATCAGAAATACAACTGCTAGCAGTGCTGCTGTTTGAAAACAGACCAACCGCGAGAAACCAATATTTATGCATTGTCGAGTCTTCTGCAGAAAGGACTGGAGGCCTTTCTGATTTTCTGGCGAGAAGGCGTTCTTTTAATGAGGATGAGCTAATGAATAGGAGCTGAGGAATATTTTTCCCTGCTCAGCATTAACAAGATCCATTTATTAGATTCACTAGACAAATCAATCCATTTGACTGCACATCACGTAGTCTGTCTACTGAGTGCCTGTTTTATCTCAGTGCTACACCACCCTTTAGGAGATCTAATAAACAGCCATAACACATGGCACAAGAACCTCCCTTTGGGTAAGTTTTGCTTGAACCATCTGTTCTTGCCATCAGTTCTTGTCTTAGGTTAGGGTATAATTTTGGATCATTTTCAAGCTCTAGTTATTGTGTGGATGTGTAGATACTTTTAATTTTCTACTCAAATCAAGGAGCTAATAAAAGAAAGAACGAACTGGTTCAATATATATATAACAAGATGAATGTCATCCAATCTAAAACGACGGTATAGAGTGATGCACATGAATGCAACTGCAGCAGACGGCATGGGGGTAGGACCTTGATAATGGCAAGAAGCTTGCTGTATTTAAGCCCTGTTTAATACATGGGATCCAGAATGTTAAATTTAATCATATGACTTCTTTTTAGTAATAAGCAGGTAAAGAAGGCTGAGGCCTGAATACTGTTTATTTTAGTACTTGCTATAGGGATAAAGTCAAGCTGTAAATCTATGACCTGTGCCCTGATTTGTAGAAACTGGAAACCCTTTTCTCCCAAATAGCAAGGAGAAAGAAAGTATGACTAAAATTACATTTACCATGTCTTTCCCGGCAAATTTTATTCTTTGTAAGTTCTTCTACAGTCTGTTCTGGTCACTGTTGATTAATATAAATAAGAGCAGCCATAGGACTCCCCTCAGCAGCCCTAGTTGGTGCTGGGTTGCTCTAATAGGCAACGGTCCCACTAAGAAGCAGCTCTAAGTAAAGGAACATTCAGAGGAGTAAAGGACTTTAAACCGCCTTTCTGTCAGTGTGTGCTTAATAGCTTCGTGCAAGTTCTGTACAGATGAAGGATTTCACAGTTACATGCTCTGTGTTGCCAGCTCTCCTGATTTTATCACGTCTTAAGACAGTTTGGTTTTTTTTCTATTCTATTTTGTCTTAAAGTCTTAGCTCCTGAATTCAGTGACTATGTGAGAATTTCAGCTTTCATATTTTTTAAAATAAAGCTCATGATTGCAGAGAAAAAAATGAAATGTTGCTTCTGCATAACTCCATGTCTAAAAAAGCAGATCAATAAAAAAGTACTAACTGTATTATTTTTAACTCAACTTGCTAGTTTAATAATATGCTTTATTAGACCCAGCTTGTGATTTCTGAATGTTGCAAGTTGGCAGTAATGTTGAATTAATATCTTCAGCCTGTAGCTGATATGCTTCAGTGTAATTTTAAATTTACTATCAAAAGCATATCTTATTTTTACTGAGTACCATGTTTTGCTCAAATTTCTTTGCATCTAGGAACTCCTAGCAAGAATCTACTCAGTTTTAAATATTTTTATCCTGTTTTGATAGCTGCTTTTATCTATGAACATCAAAAATAACTTGAATTCCTGCATCTGCTTAACTCATCTGGATTTCCCTTGACAGATGGTTTGCTGCAATGTGTGTGTTTTCCTTCTTGGGCTGCTGTTTATGAAAATACATAGTCTATCCTAGTTTCTATAATACCCAGGGAAATGTGTAAAACTTAAAAGTAAATTTTGTTACTTCAGATTCTTTCATGGTTAAAAGGCACTAGGGGGCCAGGCTGGTACCCTTTAATAGCAGCAATGGAGATCCAAGAGCATCTGCTGTCAAGTATGTGGATAAATTTCAAATAGGAAATGTTAAGGTTTAGGTATCAAAACAGATGGGAGATTTTTCTGGCTGTTTATAAACGTGTTTCTGAGTGCTGATCTACCCAGAGTGCCCTTCCACCCAAAGGAGAAATCACCACCTTCATGGCTGGCGAGTGCCTAGCATGGCTGGCTTGTGGAGTTAAACCAAAAGTGTGTCTAGATTCAGGCCAAGCATCACCTACGCAGGGAAGCCTGAGGGAGGCCTTGGGCAAAAATGGAAAGGTTAGAGGTAAAAACAAAGCTGTCCATGCACACAGATGTGAAAAAAACCACAGAGGATTTGCAGCTTAGTTCAGCTGTGAGTGGTCTGTATGCATGTATCTAGCTAATAACGCTAATGTGACAGAAGATACGAAGAATGTTTTGAAGATACCTGAATGTTTTACAAAGGTGTCTGAATGTTTTTAGACACAAATTGCAATTGAGGTAAGAGTCTAAAGACAACATTTCCTACACTAGCCTCTGGCTGCAGTTGCACAGCATGAGGCCACTTGAGTCTAGCCTTAATAAGTGGGATTTTGACACTTCCTCTTGACCTCAGGATAGATGCTGAGGATTGGCTTCTGCGTGAGATCTCTTTTTTAGGACATGACTGCTCTGTTACAGAGTGGACATACAAAAATAAAAATGCTCCAGAATCAGCAGCTGGTTTGGGATATTTGAACCTGCGGGATCTGCCTCGGTTGCCCAGTAAAAGAGTTGCATGTGGGATTGTGAACTGGTTGCTGAACACCTCGAAGGCCTTATCAGCCTCTAAAAATGAGCGCTGCCCAAACATCTTGTACAGCTGGCAGAAATAGGTGCTTTTCTGGAAAAAGAAAAAAGAAAAATCCGTACCTCTTTCACCACAAGAAGGCCCGTGGCATTCACGTGCAATGCACATTTGTTGTTCAGCTTCAGCAGGGAGGGGAGAATGTTTCTAAGCAGGGTACCATTTAAGCTGGTGTTCAGAGCATGGTCCTACAATGCAGGTCTAAACTGCCGTAAGTGGAGATAGTTCTAGTGTTGAGGTTTCCCATCTCGTGAGTGCCCTAGCCATGAGGATATAATCCTTCTCAACAGCCATGCTTTCTCAGAAAACAGGGGTCGAGTTTTCAGCCCCAAACAGTGGTTGTAGGTTACAATACCTAGAAAAGGGCTTCACATTCTGCATCACAGCCTCACAGAGACACCCAGTATATGCTCTTGGCTAGCTACATGCCTCCATTATTTTTCTTTTTTGAGGAACCTTATTGCACCAAATTTCAATATTGCATCACATTTCCCAATACAACAAACCAGACGCCTGACTCTCCAGATGTGCTGCATAGCATGTAAAGACATCAACGCTGTGAAAGCCAGTCATCAAACGGGTCTTTTTTTTTAGGTAGTGCATGGCTGAATGACACAGCGTATTTTACCACCTGATTTTCTTCGTTGTAACTTCATTGAAGAGTCTGAGTATAATTCTTTGCAGTTTGCTGAAATGATTGACTAGCCTTCCAGTCTTGAGAGCTGATCTTACTGCATCCTTCCATTTCAAATTGTGTCTATGAAAAATCCACCTGCTTCAAGAAAGTATGCCAGTATTCTTGGCCACACAGATCTCACTGGAGTAGAACCAACCCTCAGAGCAATACTAATACTGATCCTACAGAATTTGGTGAACAGACAAATTCATAGTGTGGGGCTCCATTGTCCCTTATCACTTTTCATCTGGTATTAAAGTGGAAGCACTATAAAAGAAATTATAAATATATTTTTAATAAAATTAATATCTATAGCTTCGTAATATATTTAATGTGACTCTTTGCAAAACTCTAAACTTCAGCTTGTTTATGCACCAGGTGAGAAGTAGGGAGTGACTTCTAATTTATCAAGCTTGTTTCCTATATAAGTTTAATAGATGACCTAAAGCATTATGCTGAAATTAATTGCAGTAGACAATCATTTCATATACCTAGATTATACACATGTATAATGTTAAAGGTTGGTCAGTATAATAAGTCTCAAAAATTACTTGTCATGGGGAATTATCTTCACATAGATGTTTGTGAGTGGAGACTGTCAGGCCTCTTGGTTCAGTCTGCTTCAACACATTTAGCACTGACCTAGAAGGATAGCTTGGTAAACTGGGCTTATTTGGCTTTCACGCCTGGTAGGACAGCTCAATAAAGTGCATGTCTTGGAAGAGGGATAGACAGCAGAGGACACTGTATTCTAGAAAGAGGCAAATACTTTCTGTAAGTAACCAAGACAGCACTAACTCCCAGTCATTTTGTGTCTAAGGAGATTAACGCAGCCCTTGGCTACAGGGAATACTGAGTAGGAGTAGGAAGATGTCATTGTGTTCATATATGGTTGTAGTGAGACTGTTACTCATATACAGTGTTTGGTTCTGGTGACAAGTTTTCAAAAGAAAAAGAAAAATCATAGAGCTCATTGAACATGACAGTGATGCAGAGGATGGAAAAATTGTCTAGAAATGAGGTATTTAAGGAGTTTTGAGAAGATCCACTATAGAACAGAGGCAGGTCTCAGGCAACTAGCTGCCATTTAGACATACAGGTTGTGATTCATCTTATTTAACTGGGGTGTCTGCATCCAAGCTGTTTGTCTAAGCACTCTTTATAGTCCATACTGACCCAACGATCCCAACAGCAGGGCTTAGGGCTGTGCTCCTGCCTGCCTAACTCTGTTTGGGAGCTGAGGGAGGGAGTTTCAAGTTCATGCTTTTTATGAAACAGGAATAATTGAAATGCATATCTCTCCTAGATCAGGTGAGCGCTCAAATTCTTAATATAAGAGCGGTGGAGCCTTTTTTAGACAGATTCATCTTAGAAGAGATTCACAATTATGAAACCACAATGTAGAATAGATACGACATAAAGCCAAGGTCACCACCTGGTTACCTCTATTCAGCATTTTTTGTGTTTTCTGCTAGCTTCTTAGTCAACTTCTTCACCACCAGCAGCTGCCATCTCAAGTTTTACTCCTTAGGTGGCTTGCTCTACATGTGTCACATTTAGGACAATGTGGTCACACAGGTGATTGCTGTGAAATCCAGTGGGTGCCATTGTGCCTGAAAAAGAGGTAGGTCATAGCTCAGCACTGCAGTCCAGGTTTCCTTTGTCAGTCATACCCGAAACCTACAATCAAGAAAACTGTGACAGTGTCTTTTGACCATCTCAATAATGTCTCCATTTCGTTATGCTTCGCATTTTGATCTTTCAATTATCTGTTTTCTCCCTACGCATCTTCACTCTTGACATGTGTAGCTGAAGAGAAAGAGCAATAGTCCTACATGAGTTTTTCCCATTCCTACCATCCCAAGGGTGTAGCAGATCTCTCTGGAAAGTCACCTGTCCTGGCTCTGCAGAAACACAAAGTACCACAGATAATATTTTGATGAAGTCAATAACAAAAGAAGTGGAAGGGTTTTTTGGATGGGCTTATGTGCATTTTCCTGGGAAAAGAATATAACTTAAGGAATTAACTTTGGGGCAATGCAGCAAGGAGTTTCTTTCTAGTTGAAACACAGTAATATTTGATGACAAATTACTTTTTCAAAAACTGTCCAACAGAACAACCATAATAGAGAAAGGAAGTTTTGAATGCAGTAAATCATGTTTTCTTTCAAACTGGCCAGAGATAAACAGATAAAGGTTCTAATATTTGTTTCCATGTCATTTGTGTTTAGCCTGTTTTCCTAAGGAAATGAGAATTATGTGATCATGTTCTCTGTGTGGGTTGGTTTCACTCTCTATCCAACGCTCAGCATCAAATAACTTTTGAACCCATGTCTACTTTCAATAACATTTTTTAGAGGGTGGGAATCTGGAAAATAGTGAGATTATCGTTGTGTCCTAAGAAATGGTGGTTAGGTAAAGGAGAATCATCTAAGTTAGTGCCCAGCTGAGGAAAAAGCAGGGAGAAGTCAGCTATTATATTCTGTTTGAATATGTGTGTCCCAGCCAGCCCATCAGCACACACTGTGTAGGATATGTTCTGTCTCTATCTGTTGAAAGTTCATAGGTTATGGGGAAGCTAGGGTTATTCTGACGGAGAGGAACACAGGAAATACAGGACAGAAATCCACAGGAAACAGCATGAAACTAGATTGTATTGTTTGTTATTGTATTTCATATTTTAGCATCATTTTCAGTGTCTTGGTGTCGATTTAAGGAACTTAAATGTTATAAAATCTGGTGATAATCTTCTACAACCATAATTTTAACAGGTCAATTGTAATATTGATGAAAACCCAGAAAAAAGATAGAGGAGTTATTTAGGAACTATGTGAACAGGATTGGCTGCAAGGTCTTTTCAGTGCAGTTTGATTTCTGGATAGTGACAATAACACAAGGGACCGAACATTCCTGTTCGTTTTCAATCCAGGTATAATCTAGACTGAAGAGGACTATTCAACACAATTGCTGAAATACAAGGAGTTACCCTCCTTACCTTCCTGGAGCATTCTGCTCGTACAATTTGAACACACAGACTTTCAGGAACTGTAATCCATTTATTCTCTACCAAGGGAATGGCATAAGTAATTTGATAGATACTCTGATACGTTCATTTTCTTTTTCACTTGAAACATACTTAAATATGATTCCAGCATAAACCAATATCATTCACCACCAGCAGGAACATTCGTCCATGAATGCCCTTTAACATAATGCTGACATGCAGATTTGCTGGATTCTTAAGTGGTGTCAGTCATCACTGCACAGGTAGAATCTTAACATATGTCCAGCTAGAATGTAAGACATCTTTGACTATGGAAATAGTATAATTTGGTTTGTGTATTCATCGAATAATTTAGGTTAAAAGGGACACCTGGAGTTCATCCATTGCAACACCCTACCCAAAGCAGGGCCAATTTTGCAGTTGCATAAAGTTATCTTTAATGTCTTTCAGATGCCTGGAGGAAGCATGCAAAAGAGCAATTTTAAATCATAAAGGAGAAAGGTTTCCTCCTCCAGTATTGCAGGAGCTTAATGTTAGACTGTGAGTCACTCCTTGGAGGAGTTTCTTACTACACGGACTATAGGAGAAGCTGAGCTGACTAACCTCCCGAGACTACAATCAGCCCTTGCTAATTCTCAGGGGTGTAATATCTCTAAACCACAGTTTATCCATTTGCCCTCACCTGAATATATCTGCGCACCATGGTTGGTATAACAAACAATATATGTATATATTCTTAAAATTTACATAATTACCAACCCCAAAAACTTCGGTTAACTTCAGTCATTCATGGCATATAAACAGTTCTATCAAATATGGCCTTTTCATGAAAAATTTCCATGTGAAATTTTTTTAAGCCCTGGAATGAATGGGTTTTTAGGTTTATAGATCTATACCACATCACCTAGTGGTCTCATCAGGTCATCTAGAAACTGCAATGTGAATTCAATTGATAATCTGCTGTGCTTGTGTTACAAAATTATTTTATCATATGCTCAGGCCTAATTGTGAAATACTAAGGTATGTTCAGCATAAATCTGATCATGGTGGAGATTTTATTACAACTTTGCTTTACAGATTAATAAAAAGGATTTTTTTTTCTCTGAGTAGCTTTTACATATGACTGCATTTGTACTGCTTCTAAAAGGCATATATCAGGTGACAGAACTTTCTTTTTTCCAAACAGGTAAATGGTTTAACTATGGAATTATCTTCCTTGTTTTAATCTTGGATCTGAATATGTGGAAGAACCAAATATTTTACAAACCTCATGAATATGGTCAATATATTGGTCCTGGACAGAAGATCTACACAGTGAAGGACTCAGAAAGCTTGAAAGACCTTAACAGAACTAAGCTGTCTTGGGAATGGAGATCCAATAACACTAACCCATTGACCAACCAGACCTATGCTGAAGGAGACATGTTCTTGCACAGCAGATTCACAGGCTCTAGCCTTGATGTCAAATGCCTGGCTTTTATTCCAAGTTTACTGGCTTTTGCTTTGTTTGGTTTCTTCATCTGGTTCTTTGGGAGATTTCAGAAAACTGACCAAGGCATGGAGAATTTAGATAAATCCTACACAAGAATGAAACGAAAGTCACCATCGGATATGGGAATGACACGAGAAAATACGCAGGTGTTAGTAGAAGAACCATTAAGTTTTCAAGAACCACATCTCGTATCCATAAAATCAGACTTAAGTGAAATAGTTTTTAATTCTTCTCTCCTAACTTCTGAAAACTTGAACGCACAGCTGAATGAACAAGATAGCCCTTTACAGCCAGTACCAGAGTCCTCTGTCCCTAAGAGTAATCCTGTGACATAGAGGCAAATACCCAGGAAAATCAGTTTAAATAAGCCGTTACTATAAGATTTCAGTTTTACCTTTTGTAAGTTAAGATTTACATAGTGTTTAGAATAAGAAACTCAACCTATACCAAAAGGTGCTCAGCATGCTTTTTCTAGGAATTTTGTTTTTTATTTGTATTATAGTATGTGCCTACTGTATATCTAACATTCCTTTATAGATTGCTTCCCAAAATTGCACAAGCTATTTATTAATACATTACCTTAATTGTATAATAGTGTATTAGATGATTACTTGCAGGTATAAAATTCTACCGTGGTGGTGCCTTGAGACATTAAACTGTTTTTTAACTCAACACCAGATGTATAGCACAGTTCTTCTAATCTATTTTGCAAAGCTTTTTGTATATGGTTATTTCAAGTATCATTTGATGTCTTGGCAGAGGAGATGAATATAGTTATTCCTAAAGCAGAAGGGTTTCTGTTAGGACATCACAACTTGACTTTGTTATTTAGTCATCTGTGAAGCCAGTGACTTTGATGACCGGACTGCAGAGAAGCATGTTGATTACCTTTTAATTTTTGCTGGCTAGCTGCCAAACAGAAATACAGATTCATTATGTGGTAAACAGCAGAGTAATAATACAGCATGGGTCACTACTTGTGAAAATACGTCTTTCTCCATCAGTAATAGCAATTAGGTGATAATGCCTAATTATATTTTTCCTAATTAAAGATAAACTGCTCCTTGATTAAAAGTTTTGCCCTTCACCTTTTAGAAACAGAGGTGAAAATGCATGGTCAAAAGCAACTCTTTTCATCATCGCACCAAACTTATGCAACATCAAAGAGCCAATGGAGTGATAATAGTAAAGGACACAAAGCCCATTAAATACAATATTTGTGTGGTTAGGTGCAGATGTGGTCTGGGCATATGTGAAACATACATATCATAAAATCATAGAATCATAGAATGGTTTGGGTTGGAAGGGACCTTAAAAATCATCTAGTTGCAACCCTCCTGCCATGGGCAGGGACACCCTCCACCAGTCCAGGTTGTCCAAAGCCCCATCCAACCTGGCCTTGAACACTTCCAGGGATGGGGCATCCACAACTTCTCTGGGAAACCTGTTCCAGTGTCTCACCACCCTCATAGTAAAACATTTCTTCCTAATATCTAATCTAAATCTAGTTTAAAGTTTAAAGCCATTACCCCTTGTCCTATCACTACATGCCCATGTAAACAGTCCCTCTCCAGCTTTCTTATAAGCCCCCTTTAAGTATTGAAAGGCTACGATAAGGTCTCCCCTGGAGCCTTCTCTCCTCTAGCCTGAACAACTCCAACTCCCTCAGCCTGTCTTCACAGGAGAAGTGCTCCAGCCCTCTGATCAGCTTCGTGGCCCTCCTCTGGACTCGCTCCAACAGCTCCATATCCTTTTTATGTTGGGGTCCGGAGAGCTAGACACAGTACTCCAGGTGTGGTCTCATGAGAGCAGAGTAGAGGGGCAGGATCAGCTCCCTTGACCTGCTGGTCACAGTTCTTTTGATGCAGCCCAGGATATGGTTGGCTTTCTGAGCTGCAGACACACTTTGCTGGCTCATGTTGAGCTTTTCATCAATCAATACCCTCAAGTCCTTCTCCTCAGGGCTGCTCTCGATCCATTCTCTGCCCAGCCTGTGTTTGTGGTTGGGATTGCACTGACCCATGTGCAGGACCTTGCACTTGGCCTTGTTGAACTCCATCAGGTTTGCACGGGCCCACCTCTCCAGCCTGTCAAGGTCCTTCTGGATGGCATCCCTTCCCTCCAGTGTGTTGACCACACCACACAGCTTGGTGTTGGCAAACTTGCTGAGGGTGCACTCGATCCCACTGTCCATGTCACCCACCAAGATGTTAAACAGTGCTGGTCCCAGTACCGACCCCCGAGGAACATCTCCAAATACTGAAGAAATGTTTAGGGTTTTTAATTAAAGCAGATTAATAATTCAATGTTATTGTACCCTTTTTTTTTTTTCTTTCATTCATTATTACCATGAATAAGTGTAACCTGGAAGCAAAAATATAGAGAAACTGGGTTTTTTTGCTTTTTTGAAGGGGACTTTGTAATATGAATTCCTCTGCTGTATGATCAAACTATATGCATATCTAAAACATCAGAAAGACTCTGATTTGCCTCTAATTTAGTTCTATAAATTGTTGTTACAAGTTACTAAATAATAAGTCATTTTTAAGTCTGAATTATTTCCCTGTCATTTATTGGTGTTGCTGTATTTTGTCTTTGTGACTTTTTTATCTCCATTGTTTTGATCTATCTGCTTTTAAGTTTTTGGAATGCTGAATTTAGCATGCATAATAGAACTATGCATTTATTAACTGTCACTTGAGAGCCAAGTTTAATAAACATCATTCAACAATTGTTTATTATGAGGCAGGAACATATTCTGTTAGTTTTGCAATTTTTAAAGCATTTTACCCATGCATTGTCCTATTTAAAATCATAAATATTTCTGACACTAAAAAAAGACAGGCAGTATCACAGTAATATCAAGATCAAATATTTTGCTTATGGAACATTTAATATTTCATCAGGGGAAAGTTCACTTTATAATCAGACTACTTTTTTAGCCATTAAAAATTATGACTAAAAATAAATCTATTAGCTTTTGCCTACTGCAGCCTATAAACTTATTTAGTTGACTTAAGATATAGTCAAAGACAAGCCATTAATTACTATGGTAAAACACTGAGATCCTGCTTGTTCTGTATAAGAGGTGACTATATTGATGTTTGACTTTCAAGCAGCATTTGATTTGTTAAGGAGTTACAGAAATAGCTGATTAATTTTGCAGATACATGCTTCCCTGTATGTTTTGGACACTGTAAACCCAAGTACTGAAAATCTCTCGTTAGGTCATTTCTTCTTTTTGTGCATGGGAGTGGTTAAATCCATTAATATGTAGGCAGAAAATGAAAGAATTACTAGAGCCTTACAGCCTGCATGATTACATGACTCTGAGAAAACCGTTATTAAGCAACTGATCCGCGGCTAAAATAATTCTGTGACCTCACATTGAGTTAATGCTTTTAAGATCATTGTAAGCCTGCATGAAAGAGAAAAAAGCATCAAGTAATCCTAGATTGTGCATGAGTATTTAAATTAATGGTCAAGCAGAGAGACCGCTTATATCATGGATTCATAAGAAGTTAAAAGATTCAGTGTAGCCACTCAGCATGGTCAACTCATCAATTTAATGAAAGAAGGGACTCTTCAGTTGTGTGGGAGTCTCATTTGTAAACACAGACACAGATGGGAGAAGAGAGGAGTATTTCCACTCTCCGCTTCCAGCGTTGAGTTTGAAAAGCCTGAGCTAGGTGGCTAGGCTTACCCTAAGCTCCCTCTGAAGCAGGCGGAGACTTGGGAGCTGACCACCCTACACGTGATTCAGTACCTAGCTTAGTCATTTATCTCCGCGTTAGTAAGTAGTGCAGCTCAGCAGAAATGGGTCTGTGGAGTGAAACAGTTGGTGCTGAGGACCCAGTGCCCACAGTTTGTGCATTTCAGGGTTTTGCTTCAGTTTAGCTCTTTTCTGGTCCTTATAAACTGAATGTACGATAGTGGCTGGGGTACGTTTTGGACAAAACTTGTTCATGTGCAAAGACCATGCAATTTGAATTAGGACAGAGAAAGTGGGCACAATCTAAACTGCATTCCTGAGCTCAGCTACTAATGCAGTAGAATCCTCATCCTCAGTCTTCTGAAGCTGCTTGTCTTCCTCCGTGGATTGTAGAAGGGTCCATGGGAGACTGGGTGGCTAAGTAGGAGGCCTGAAATTGGTTATTACCCAAAATGGAAATATTGCTCCTCCAAGCACATTCATTGTTTTCAACTGTTGTTCACTATTGATATTCTGAAATGCTTCGCTAGCTCAAACCCTTCTGAAATGCTTTCTAGTCTAGTACGCATCACTGGGACCTTGATATGGATGGTTGACCTTTTCCTGAAAGCCTAACTATTGCACCAGTTTTTTTAGTCTTTTTTTTTTATTTTCCTGAAGAAGTTGAAGAATCTGTAGAAGGGAAGAAACTTGAAGAAGTGTGAATTTTTTCACACACTGCACAAGTCTCCATTCTGCCCTCTATAATAAACCATCTAGCAGCTGCCATCACTATAGGGCTGGCCTGTGTCTGCTTTGTCAGGGATCACATCTGGTACAATAGTTCTTTTTTTTACCATAGATACACTGTACAGTGATGGATTATAGATACTGCCTAAAATAGCGTACACAGAAGAGACATCTCTAAGATAAGCACATAAGATTTAAGAGCCTATAAGTACCTATAAATTGCCTTAGCATCCTCAACAATTACCTTTGCTGAGATGGAAATGACATGGAGCAAATGTATGGTAAGAATGTTTGTAGAAAGTACCTTAAATATAATATTCATGCTTATGAAAGTGTATATATGTAGGTCTAAAATCCAATTGTATAAGATGTATATGTATGTTAGGAGTTCAGGGATTAGTTGATTCTGTTGGGGAAAACTGCTGAGTCTCTCAAGCAGTCGATTCGCTACTGTCCTCTTTATTCTACATTGCTCCATGAGTTAGTTACTCCAGATTGTTTTATCTCATCTGCCTCCACTTCTATTGCAAAACCAAAAAAGAACATTTACTTGCACTCTGCTTCCCCAAGTTATGGTTTTTGTCTAATTTATGCAGAAAGTAAATTTCTTCATTTCAAAAGGTTTCTGTCCTCTCCAGCTGGTATCATCGTACTCTCGGCTACTGCACTATATTACGGTATGTGTTAAAGTATTGCTTTTCCTGTGGTGAATAGCCTCCATCATGACAACCACCTGGAAACAAAGAGCAGACATCTGTCAAAGACTGGAAAGGCAGCAATTCAGCTCCTTACTGGACTGTCAAGCTCCTTTTCCCACAAGTGAACAGGTTATGACTCACTAGTAAAAGGTGTAACATATTTTTAATACACTGCCCTTAATTTTAACAACCTCCT